TTCGAGCTCGGTACCCCGGTCTGACATGACTTCAGCAGCACCAAAAGCCCAGCAGGATCCACATGTTGCTTGATTTCGAATCATTTTGATGGATCTGCAGTTAGGCCAACGGGTACGAGCGTCGAAGTAGGTTGGGATGGAAGGAAGGACTGTGTTGACTTGGCTAGCACGGAGCTCGGGGGAGTGTGGAGCTGCGTATTTGACATCCATCACACGGAACTTCTTGAATTCCTCGGTGACGTTGGAATATTCAGCGGTGAACATGGATTGGGCATAATTGACATAGTTAACGAGAGCTTGTCCGGTGATTGGGACGAATGCAGAAGTGGCTTCTAGCAGTACGGCCAGAACAAGAATCTTCTGAATATGAAAAATCTAAAATTTGTTCAAAAAGTTTACTCACCATCATGGTTGTCACCATCATGCTTGATCAAAGAGATGTATTTTTCCCCTTTTTATACCAAACCTGCTGTTTTTCAAACTTTCGACTCTTCTTATTTTATTCTGCTCTTCGGTTTGCTATATGCTTATCAGTTGAGTCCTAATCGGTTCAGGAAAGCAGATGAACCGGAATCCACTTTAGTTACAGTTCATTTTTACAAAACTCAATGTTCGGACATTTGTACTTTTTGCAGAATCTCTGTTTCAGAAGAGTGGAGTTTATGAATTCTATGATAAGAATGATCAATAGAGATTACAAGTTGTTTCGTTGTAGTAGTAGAGAACAAAAATGATTGCTTTGTATTTTTGAATCAATTCTTTTCAAATCTGGGTTACTGTAAAACCTCTATTAGAAGAGCCGGCGTTTCTTTGGTTTGCAGTGGATGGTTTCGAAATAACTGGTTTCGAAGTGTCGCGCAATTTCGAAATGACCAGTTTCGAAACGTCGCGGTTTCGAAGTGACCCGGAGCCTAATTTTTTATGTGAGGAATGGAGTGGCCTAACTTTCTCAACATACTTTCTCTAGGCCACCAACTTTCATGGTTCAGAAATGCTCTTACTTGCGCCTAATGTGTTTTCTAGGCCATTTTTACATGGTGACCGAACTTTTGCAAATTGAGTTTTCTAGGTCAGCATCAGTGGTGGGAGGACTTTCCGTTTCCGTTTTCAGTTTTCCGCCCGGGTTTTAGAGATTTTTTTTCCATTTCCGTTTCCGCGGAAAAAAAATTCCCGTTTCCGTTTCCGTTTTCCGTAAAACCGCCATTTTTTACAGCGGAAACGGAAAAAAAATTAGAAAAACAACGAAAACATTAAACTGAAACTGGCTTGAAAAAAAGCATGGAAAGTCATGCAAATATGGTCTTTAAACGTTAAAAACTGTAAATTTTTTGTTGGAATATTCAGCGGTGAACATGGATTGGGCAGAATTGACATAGTTAACGAGAGCTTGTCCGGTGAGAGTTTCTGGATTGATTGGGACGAATGCAGAAGTGGCTTCTAGCAGTACGGCCAGAACAAGAATCTTCTGAATATGAAAAATCTAAAATTTGTTCAAAAAGTTTACTCACCATCATGGTTGTCACCATCATGCTTGATCAAAGAGATGTATTTTTCCCCTTTTTATACCAAACCTGCTGTTTTTCAAACTTTCGACTCTTCTTATTTTATTCTGCTCTTCGGTTTGCTATATGCTTATCAGTTGAGTCCTAATCGGTTCAGGAAAGCAGATGAACCGGAATCCACTTTAGTTACAGTTCATTTTTACAAAACTCAATGTTCGGACATTTGTACTTTTTGCAGAATCTCTGTTTCAGAAGAGTGGAGTTTATGAATTCTATGATAAGAATGATCAATAGAGATTACAAGTTGTTTCGTTGTAGTTTATTAGAGAACAAAAATGATTGCTTTGTATTTTTGAATCAATTATTTTCAAATCTGGGTTACTGTAAAACCTCTATTAGAAGAGCCGGCGTTTCTTTGGTTTGCAGTGGATGGTTTCGAAATAACTGGTTTCGAAGTGTCGCGCAATTTCGAAATGACCAGTTTCGAAACGTCGCGGTTTCGAAGTGACCCGGAGCCTAATTTTTTATGTGAGGAATGGAGTGGCCTAACTTTCTCAACATACTTTCTCTAGGCCACCAACTTTCATGGTTCAGAAATGCTCTTACTTGCACCTAATGTGTTTTCTAGGCCATTTTTACATGGTGACCGAACTTTTGCAAATTGAGTTTTCTAGGTCAGCATCAGTGGTGGGAGGAACTTCCGTTTCCGTTTTCCGTTTTCCGCCCGGGTTTTAGAGATTTTTTTCCGTTTCCGTTTCCGCGGAAAAAAATTCCCGTTTCCGTTACCGTTTTGTAAAAGTAAAATTATATTTCCGTTTCCGTTTTCCGTAAAACCGCCATTTTTTACAGCGGAAACGGAAAAAAATTAAAAAAACAACGAAAACATTAAAATGAAACTGGATTGAAAAAAATCATGGAAAGTCATGCAAATATGGTCTTTAAACGTTAAAAACTGTATATTTTTTGTTTGAAAAGAGAAAAATCCTGAAAAATAGACGAGAAATAAAAATTTCCTATTCCGTTTCCGTTTTAGTTTTCCGTTTTCCGTTTTCCGCCCGATTTTAGAAGATTTTTTTCCGTTTTCGTTTTTCGCGGAAAAAAATTTCCGTTTTCCGTATTTCGGAAAAATGCGTTTCTTCCCATCACTGGTCAGCATGGTAAATTTGCTATGAGTGGTTTGATATCAACCTGTTGAGTTTTCTAAGTCATCTGAACATGGTGGCCCAACTTTTGCAATTTGAGATTTCTAGGCCACCAAATGTTGTGGTCTAAAAATGGCTTAATTTCCACGGTGCATTTTCTAGGCTAAACAAAGTGGCCTAAAACACTTAACATGAAGTTAGGTCACCATGTAAAAATTGCCTTAAAACATGCCAAGTGAAAATCAGTTCATTTCGAGGCTATAGAAGTTTGTGACCTAGAAAACACAACTTTCAAAAGTTAGGCATTTTAACATGACCTGGGACACCCATCAGGTGAAGACTGTCTTTGGATCATCAACTTTTTCGATAAATTATTTCGAGCAAATTTTCGACAAGTCCACAGCTAGCCCGGGCCGGCCCGGTGGACATTTTTGGTCTATCGAGTTTTAAAAAAATTAATTTTTTATCTTCCGGGTCAATTTTCTGTTCCGGAACCTGAAATATTGGCACTGACTCGCCCAAGAAACATTTTTTGTTCTCAAAACTTCATTTTTGAACTCTACAGACATCATCATAGAATCCCCTCACCACCAAAAAGCAATTAAGATAGCAGCGTTTCTCCATGACAACAATGTGACCTCTAGGGACCCATAGAAATATCTAGAACAAAAAAGTTTTCTCATAATTTTTTCTATGTACATAAACTGGTTTCATCATTTTGTTCCTCAAATTTTCGGTTATCTGGCATTCATTGTAAATCCGTACTTTGTCCACCTCATTTTCACTGAAAAAGTGAACTTGGGCAATTATCGATTTTTGTTCTCCTACTTTGCACTGTTCAATATTTTCCACTCGTTGATGGATATCTTTGTGCCCATCGTGAGTAACAAGGCTTCCATTTCGGTCGGACCGCCGACCGCCGACCGACCACCGACCCCCCAACCGACCGACAGCGAATTTGTGTGTTGGCCCGTCAACACATCAGTTTTTGCGTATGCAGCGTTCAGTTTTACGACGCATTTCATTGAATAGTGTGTCGTGAAATAAGATGCTGCGTACGCCAACACTCTCTGGTATGTTGACGCGCAAATGCGCGGATTCGGTCGGTGCGCCCTCCGATCGGTCAGCTCAGTCGGCTTGTTTCCAGGGAATTCATGGAACTCGTTACTGCTTCTTGATGTTTCTCAGCGATGGTTGGTTATTTAAAAAATCGGAGCTCAGCATGTTCCTTTTGGCTGTTCGTTGCTCACTGATTGCCTGTACATATGCTGTACTTATCAGTCATTTTGTGTACAGATATCTAACGATTCGAGGGAGTTCTTTGGTTATGAGTTATTTTCCTGGATTTATGATCGCCTCATTTTGCTTGTGTGCGTTTGGCTCGGTTTTTTGGATTGTGGTGGGTAATAATTTTAAACCAATCTCGCTTTTTGTGATAGATATCAAAAAGTGGTAACCTGATAACATGGTTATCATAATATCGAAAGCATTTTAGATATGAACAGTTTTTGATATCTGTTACAGGAACCGAGATGAATAAGTTCTATGTTCAGGTTGCTTACATTGTTGCCGTTCCAAATCTAGAAACTCGAAAATATATTCAAAACGATTTCATTGAAATTTACAATGCCGACTCATTGACTCTCAATTTTTTTGCACTAATGTATAGAGTAAGTCGTAAACTCTTTTAAATATAAAAATCTGAAATTTTTCAGGATGCGACTTTGGAAATTCTCATAAAATCATATTTCGGAGTCGTTGCCGGAACTTTTGTGTCCGTTGGGTCGATTTCGATTTTTATAACCTTTGGGATTTTGGTGAGTTGGAAAATCTGTAAATGAATTTTGATGAAAGAAAATTGGAAATAAAGGACCCAGGACCCAGGACCCAGGACCCAGGACCCAGGACCCAGGACCCAGGAATTTTCAAAGATTGAATAATCATTGAATGATCCATATTAAATATTATTAATCCAAACAATGCTGATAATGCGAACATACAAAAACGCTAAATACATTCTAAAAATTCTGAAAATGTTCGAAAATGCTAAAATACAATTAAATTATATTCTTTTAAAAAGGTATGCCCAATTCCAAAAAAAAAATTTAAAAATCACCCTAATCAACAAATAATCCTTTTCAGATAATGAATCTCCTAAAAGAAAAGCGTCTAAGCGAAAAGACCGCCCGTCTCCAAAAAGAACTCCTTCGAGCTCTAATCGTCCAAACCGCCATTCCAATTTGTCTCAGTTTCGCCCCTTGTATGCTCAGTTGGTACACCCCAATGTTCAATTTAAAATTGGGAAAATGGTTGAACTATACTGGAGCAGTTGCATTGGCTGCGTTTCCATTTATTGATCCTGTCGCTGTCATTTTATGTTTGCCTGGATTGAGGAAACGAATTTTCGGCGACGGAAAAGCCAAAATTTCCAGTTTGGCAGTTATTGGAATGAATAAATTGTTCTGAACTTTAACACACTTGGAAAATTGAAAAAAAAATATTCGCCCATTTCAGGCCATTTAGTCAGAAAATTCGAAAGTTGATTTTTTAAAACTGAGAAGTTTGAAAATCATGAAAATGTACTATAAACTCAGAAATTTCTTTAAAATCAAACTCTCCAAGAAAGGTATGATTTCAAGATCTTGACGCACTCACAAACACAAATTTTCGTGTATTGCTCATTATTATTATTTTCAGTTACATCACGAAAAAAAATGTATGAGCACAGTCACAGTCCACAAGAACCACCTACAAAAAAAATTAGTAATAACATATCAAACCGATCAGAACTCAAAAATCCAGATTTTTTGAAATCAATAATTGGGTTTTTTGAATTTATGGAAAAATCTGGAAAAATCTGAAACCCAAAAAAATCTTGAAGAACTTTCAGAGTCAAAAAATATCGAATTTTCAGAAAAAACGCAAAATTCTATGAAACTTTTAGAAACAAATGAAAGTTCATTAAAAAAATGAGAAAAAAATGAGAAAAATCCAAAAAAAGATGAAAATCAGAAAAATCGACGCTGTCAAGTTTGAGCTCAATTATCTCGGCTCCTTTAAAAGATATGAAAAATCTGATTATTAAAAAAATATTTCTGAGATTGTGATAAACAATTTATCAGTTGACCAATTTTTCATATCTTTACCAATTTTTCATATCCTTACCAAACCCGAGATAAATTGGCTCAAAGGTCAAAGTCAGCGGGCCCTTCTATTACTGGTTTTACAGTATCTCAATTTCCATTTTCAGAAGATCCTTCTTCTGGGGCCTTTCCACAGGTTCTACCGTATCCTTTTATTTTTCTAGAACATCACCTATACTACAATTTCTATATGACTCACTCTTCAAAAAAAAATATTTTTCTGACTCAAAGTCCAATATTTTCTTTATAAGATCATATTCTTAATGTTCATTTATCTCAAGTACTCCCCTCACTCATTTACGTACCTTGTCTTATCTTTAGAATATTTTTCCGCTACAAAACTAATCCATCGGTCCATTTAGTGTGCTCCAGACTACATTTGGGCGAATGTGTTAGGTATAAATATTCCAGTAAACTCTTTAAATTTCCATTTTTGTTTTTTTTTTTGAAATATTTTTCTCGGAATTTTTCTAGAAATACTTCACTTGAATCTGTGAGTTTTCAGATTCCCACATGTACATCCATTGGTCCCATCACAACCTCCCCAAGATTTTCGGAATCTTATCATTTGTTTTCAATCCCTTATTCATGTGGTTGATTCTGAGTGAGAAAAAGGCGTCCATTGGAAAATATCGATACTTATTGATTGGTTTTGCCCTTTTTGACATGTTCTACTCGACTGTCGAGTTGTTTGTACCTGTTGCTATCCATGGAACTGGTGCGGCTTTTGTGATCTACTTGGCGGATGGTCCATTTTTTGGGGTGGGTTCTTTTGGTCCATTTCTAGGGCCAGTTAAGCTGTAGTTAGAATTTATTGCTTTATTAAATTTTGGGGGTCCTGAAAAAATAGCAAGGACCCAATGAGTTTAGCGGGCCCGTAAAACCTTTAATAGAAGCGCTCCTAACTTATAACTTTAAGATAGTTTAACTCAGTTCCTGTCAAAGATATGTAAAAGTTGTCAACTGATAAATTATTTATCGTAATATTACAAACATTTTATCCGTTGACATATTTTTGATGTCTTCGATAATAACCGAGATAAACTAGATAAAACTTGACAGTGCGTCGGCCCTTCTATTACAGGTTTTACGGCATTTCTTTTGCAAAGTACTGTAGTCCAACCGCTGAATTCTTGACCGCGTAGCTCAGCCTGTAACGGCACGACTATCTTAATATATGGTCCATGGGCTCCAAGATTTTCAAACATTCGTTTTCCAGACTGGACACCTCGGTCAACTAGCCGTATCCATCAGATGCGGGTGCATTTCCCTATCCTATGGAATCCTAATCATCCACTTCATTTACAGATACTTTGTTCTTTTTAAGTAGGTAAAAATGGATTTTCCCTAATATCCAAACTACCCAACATTTTCCAGCACTCATATAATCGAAGCTATGCTCCGACCATCTGGCCTTTTTGGTCTTTTTATCTTTTTCATTTGTCACGGAATCGCATGGAGTACTGTATGCGAGATGTTCCTTTATGGGGATCAGGAAGTGTCTGACTATATCTACGAAGGGTTTAGAAGAGATTATAATGTGGATTCTCATGATTTGTCAATGTTGATGGCGCTGTTTTTTGTAAGGATCATGGATCGGAAAAGTCAAAAAGTGATATGTTTCAGGACGCGAGTCCAGAAATCAAACGACGCAGTTGGATGGGTATTTTGATCCTAACCGGGATTAGCACCTATGCGGTATCCTTGTATATTGTTCTGGGATGGAAGATTATGAGAAAATTGGCTGATAATCCTGGGGTGTCAAAAACTACGCAGAAGTTGCATAGGCAACTTTTTAAAGCGTTGGCTGTTCAGGTGAGGGACATCAGGACAAACTTATTTACATTATTTTTTAACTGGGTCGGAACGGACCAATGACGGATCAACGCGGGCAGCTTTGACTAGGGCTAGCGCGACTTCAAAAAAAACTGCGGCTGGCCGGCATTTGGTCAGGGTTGGTCCGAACGGGCCGACGACGGCCCAAAAACGGCCCAAAAAACGGACAAACGACAAATCAACCGAGCTAAAATAAATGACATTGAATTTGTCAAGTACTACAAATTCATATTATGCCAACCTATGAAAAAAACTGCCTCTAACCTATGAAAAAGTTAACCATCAGATAAAACTGACCTGGTCCACTGGACCATGGCTTTCAGCTTTATGTCTGAAACTGTTTTCATTAAAAAGATACAGTTTTTTTGTGTTATCCTCCTTTAGGGCTTGTTAAATCCTATCATATCCATTTTTGATAATCAAAAAATATTGGGGGTGAAAGAAGTTATGGGTTGGTCTGTCGTTGGTCCGCTCTTGAAAAAATAACACTCTGGTGGTCATGGCCTAAGGTCCCAAAACGACAACTACCGTAACCTCTAAAAATAATACCAAAGAAAATTTTCCAGACCTTCATTCCCATTTGCATTAGTTTCTCGCCCTGTATGATGGCTTGGTATGGGCCTGTACTCGGATTGGATCTCGGAATGTGGAACAACTACCTTGGAGTGATTGCCTTATCAGCGTTCCCCGTTCTCGACCCATTGGCTATTATAATCTTGTTGCCTAATTATCGAAATAAGTTAATTGGTGTTGTAAAACGACCAATTAAGTATTTGAACTCGGGAACGTCGGCAGTACGACCCACTGGGGATAGTTCCGGTGCCGCTACTCAGCTTTATTAAACTCAATAAATGTTTTTCTGATATCATCGGGTACGTTAAAGCACAATTATTAATTACCCTTGGGATTGAGTTCGAGGATATAACGGACAATAACACGGCAATCTTCATACTTGTGTTATCTATACAACACCCCAAAACATGATATATATGAACTGGTACCATCAAAATTTTCCGCGGATTCTGGGAGCGTTTAGTTTCCTGATTAATCCTGTTTTTATCTATCTGGTCATCACAAAAACCAAATCCCAAGTTGGCAGTTATAAGAACCTTATGATAATGTTCTCTGTGTTCGACATTTTATATTCCATTTCTGAAATTTTAACACCAATTGTAAGGGCTTACTAGGCCTTATTTGGCCGATCTTGTTCAACCACTGGAGGGTCCGTAACTTGGTTATATTTGGAATTATTATTTGAATCAAAAATCAAAATGAAGACCTCAACGAGATCTAAAAAATGATACTTAATTCAAATATCATGTTTGAAACTAGAAGCCGCAAAGGGAGCACGGCGCTATATGTGTCGATTTCGCAGGTCCGGATGTTTTACGGCTTCTGCTTCGAAACTTGGCATTTGAGAAAATTGAATAATTTAGTATCATTTTGTAAATCTCATTAAGCTCTAAATTTTAAGTTTTAATTAGAACAGAAATTCCCAGTTTGAACCGAGTTATGCGCCCAAAAAGCTGTAGGCCCTGGTCCACTCCTGCTCCACCGGACCTTTCATCTCGGCTCGACTTTTTGACGCTTTCTGATTTGATTTAAGTTTTTTATATGGTCGAATTTAGTATCATTTTGTAGACCTCATTGAGTTCTACATTTTTTTTTTGATTTGAGCAGAATTTCCAAGTTTCAACCGAGTTATGGGTCAGCAAGCGATAGGACCATTTATTCTTAATTCCAGGGTGTCCAGGGAAACCGATATGGTGTTGTGATTTTTGTAACCGATGGTTTATTTTTCGAATATCCAGAGCTTGGACAAAAAGCCATGGCCATACGATGTGGATTCATTTCTGTCAGTTACGCTCTACTGATAATTCACTTCGTTTATCGCTACCTAGCACTTTTTCAGTGAGTTTTTGAAGAAATTTCCCTCAACTTTGAGCCAATAAATTTCGATTCCTGTCAAAGATACCAAAAGAGGTGTCAACTAATAACATGCTTATCAAAATTTCGAAAATAGGAACCGAAAAAGTTATCTCAAACTTGAAAGTACAGGTTTTACTATGACCTAATTCAGCCCCCATAGTCTCTGGCGACTTTTCCAACCTATTGGCTTATCAATCATTATCACTTTTGTCTCTCTACATGCCTTGTCTTGGTCTTTGGTGAGATTTTCTGAATTTCAAAGAAAAGAAAAAAAAATAACAAAAAAACCACCATTTTTAGATTTGCCAAGAATGTCTAGCCGCCGATGACGAAATTCGAAAAATTGTATCTTTTGATTTCATTCAAGAATATCGAGTTGCTTCCAAAAATGTTCCAATGTTAGCTGTTCTGTATTGGGTAAGAGAATAGAAATAATTGATTTACCCGCGAAAAAATTCCAGAATGTTCGTTGGGAAATTCGGCTCCGTAGTTGGTTTGGAATCATTTTGCTCACAATTATTTCAATGTATTCGATGAGTGTGTACTTCATTCTTGGCTACAAAATCACGATGAAAATAAAAAGTATCACATTTGAGCAGACGCTAAGTGCGACGAGCATACGATTACAAAGACAGCTTTTCGTGACGTTGGTTGTGCAGGTAAATGGAATTTGTATCTTGTTAGGGTGCAGTAGAGTAAAGCACAGGCGGAATGTCTGATGGCCGTGGCCTAGAAAAGTTTGTGTAGTTCTCGTGAACAACTTTTTTAGCTGATTTTTTTTTTGTACAACGGGGCCTAACTTACTCAGAAAAATTTTTCTAGGTCGCTATCTTTTATGGTTCAGAAATGGCCTAGCTTGCACCGGATGTGTTTTCTATTCCATGACAACATGGTGGCCTAACTTTTTCAAGTTGAGTTTTCTAGGCCACTAACTTTAATGGTCTAGTAATGGCCTAACACACGTGGTGTGAATTTTCGGGGACAACATGGCAACATGGCGGCCTAACTTTTGCAATTTTAGTTTTCTAGGTCATCGAAGTAAATGGCTTGAAAAACATACCAGGTGAATGTTAGACCATTTCTAGGTCGTAATCTTCGATGGCCTAACTTTCTCAACATGATTTTCCTAGGTCATCTAATGCATGTGGCCTAGAAAAATCACGTTGAGAAAGTTACGCCATGTCGTCATGTTACTCTTTTGTTTTTGAAAAATTCAGTAACAAAAATTGTCCTCGAGAACTACACGAAGTTTTCTAGGCAATGAACTTTTAATGTCATCAAAATGTCCAAAATTTCATAACAACTTTTCAGACCTCCATTCCAATCATTGGAAGTTTTCTACCTACAGTAATCTCGTGGTACGCCCCAATTATCGGGATTAACATTGGCTGGTGGAACACAAACGTGGCTACCGTAGCCCTGGCCGCGTTTCCGTGCATAGACCCGATGGCAGTGATTCTCTTGGTACCTAATTATCGAAATGCTATGATCAAAAGAAGTATGCCACCATCAGATACAAATATTTTGGGGAATCAAATGAATGTAGTTCCCAGAAACAGTAATGTTGTTTTCGAGACTCGAGAGATAAATGTGACTTGAGGTTCTTGGTATATAAAGAATGTTTTCGTTTGTGTTATGTGTTTTGTTTTTAATAAAAAGTTTTGTAGTTATTTATTTATTATATTATTGGAAGTTAAACTTTAACAAATGTCAAGAAAGAAAAAGCAGATTATTACAGATAGTTATTAGGCCAGTGATGGAAACTCGGATTGAACCAAAAGTGGCGAACTGCATGCAGGACACGTCCTCTTTGTTGTGAACCATTCCTGAGCACATTCCACGTGGTATCTTCTTTTGCAGCACTCGCATTTGATGGTTCCTTCCTCCGAATCCATTTCCTCAATGGCGATCAAGCAGTCGGTGTCGGCAAGCTCTCCTGGTCTCACTGCTGGAGTCTTCAGTAGCGATTCACAGATTTTTGGAGCTTCTGAATGGAAGATGTTCTCATAGGCGTTCAGGAATCTTTGGGATAGAGCTGGGAAGTTGGGAAGTTCTGGAATCTCTTCTGGTTTGACTAGTCGGCTTCCACGGATCATCTCTAGCTGGGTGTTGACTGCTTGAGTGTAGACTTTAGCCTCCTCGCAAAATCTAATGGCTTCAATTCTCGTGGCATCTTCGATTTGCTTGTTGTGAGCCTTCATACAAATTCTTTGAGCAAGTTCTCTGCATTTACCAACTGGATTTCCACTTTTAAGAGTTCCTTGGATCTCGAGAAGTTTAAAGAGCACATCTCTGACTTTCTCAGTCTCCTCGTCACTTCTAGTTGGTTCCAGGGTTCTTAAATCTGATGATTGTTGTGCCTCCAGTTCATTGATTTTCTTCATCTTGAGAGACTTTTCAAGATCCTTAATGATAGTTGAATTCTCTCGAATAATGCTATCTTTGGATTCCATCTCCATCTCCATATTCAGGATTGTGTCTTGCTTCGCAAAAAGATCCATATTTTGTCTTTCAATGATGTCCTCCTTGGATTTCAGAAGTTCCTCTAGCACTCTGATTCTCTCATCTTTGTCCATTCCTTTTTGCTTAACAATCTCGATTTCCAATTCTGCCTTTGCCAAGTCCTTCTTCAGATGCTTGCATTCGACTTTAGACAATCTGAGCTTCTCATTTGCCAAATCAGCGAAATGGCTGGCACGAGAGCACTTGGGACAAGCTTGGGATTCCTTCGCTTCTGGAATTTCGGACCCTGGATCAGAAGAGGATTCAGATGCAGTTGAAGTGAGTTCGGATGTAGGCAGAGGGAGTGTCGGTTCCTTAGTCGTCTTCACTCTCTTTGATCTCTTCTTTTTCTGTGGAACTTCCATGGCGACTTCGTCATTCTTTTTCTCCCCTTTAGCTGATTTGGCTGCCTCTTTTGCATCTTCCTCAGCTTGAAATTCAGCGTATGCTTTCTTGACCATCTCCATAAGTTCCGCACCTTCTCCACAGCATGGACTGTTGGGAATCCATTTGGTACACACCTTTTGGCTGTGCAGGAAATCAGTAATATAAGTAATCTCATCACTGAGGGCGGTTATTTGCCACTGGAAAATCGTAGCGTTGTTCAAATATTCTCCTCCGGCGATGGCCTTCATGTTTGGGAGGCACTTTTCCAATTTAAGGTACACCTTTCTCAATTCGTCCAATTCTGAGTTTCCTTTTCTGACATTTCGGATATTCTTTGCTTGTTTTGAAGTCTTCAACTTGAATTCGTAGCATTCTTCCCACATCGATTTGATCAGATTTAAGTCTTCCAGACTGATGAAGTAGACTCCTTGGTTCGAACAGAAATACTCTTTCACTGAATCGAAAAATGTTTCGACGTGCTTGAATTGATCCTTCTCGATAGTTTGGAACACTTTCTTTGCCACAATCATATCGTTTAATAATTCATGGAAGGCATCGATGGCACGAACACAATAATCACCATTTGGAGATGGAATTGGAGTGGCTTGGAGCTTTGTTTCTGGCTGCGTGATTCGAATGAACTGAAAAAAAGACATTTAGAAATTTAGAAAAAATTTAGAAGTCTTACCTCGATATTCTTCATATCCTGAATATTCACTTTTTTTGCGACTTCACGGAATTCCAGTGTCGACAGCTTTGGCATACCTAGAACTTCCTCCTCGAATCCTGACACATCGAAATTCTTGTTCTTGAGAGATTGAAGGAATTCGTGAGCCATCACAAAGTTATTCTTGCCAGCGGAAAATAATCTGACCGTCGCTTTGGTGTTCGATGGAATAGAGTTGGTCATAAAGTCTTCCAACACTCTGGCAACGATTCCAATCCACGACAGCATCTTGATGTAGTCATCCTTGTTTTCCGTGATTGGATGCCTCTCATTGTATGTTCTTAAGATTTCGTAAACCACCGATGCTCCTTTCCCGTCAAATTTTAGCATTTCCGTCCAATACACATTCAAATCATGAGGTTGCAGAACAGCTGAGCAGGGCTTGAAATTTTTCATTAGACTTTCAGCCTTGGTCAAATAGTTATCCGAAACTCCAGCCAATTGCCCGGAAAGCCACTCGAGACAATCCTTCGGTGATTGAACCATTTCGCAGTGAGAATGAATCTCCGACTTCCATTTCGACTCCAAAAATCTCTGACATCCTTTGATCGCCGATAGGACCATGTTTCGTTGCCAATTTGTGAATGGACATGGGACGACAAGTGAAGCAAATGCCAGAAGATCGATTTTGTAGACGAAGTCAATTCCTTTGAGACTCGTGTGCATTCTTGGGATGGTAGTGTACAAGCCATTCAAGTCGAAATCCATAAGGTTCGCGCATCCAGGAACGCCTAAGAAATTGGCAACGAGCATGATCAACTCCTCGGTAGAGCGAAACATTCCAAGTGTGGATTTGCCCATTGCTCGAAGAAGACCCAAATTGGAGATGGCGCTCAGATTGGTGAATTTGTAGTCGAATGGGATCATCTGAAACAAATTAAATTATATTTTTGAGGCAATTGCAAGATTTGAAAAAATAAAGTAAAAGAAAAAAAATCAGGTTTTTCGTATGTGTTTCAGAATCTGAAAATTATACTCACCTCTTTTGGAATACAGCGACGAACGATTTTCTCCAGATTGGTTGGGCATAAGATCAAATCCGTGGTGATAACAGTAGCAGAAGACATGATAGAGTTGATATCTGGAAAAATTAAAATTAAGTTGAAGGAACATTAGAAAGCAAGTAATGGCAAAAAATGTTGAAAGAGGATACAGTGAAAACCTATACAAAAAATCAATGAATTAGAGATGGCAGACCAACTATCCAGAGATGAGAAAAATATAAGAATAAATGAGGAAATGAGGAAATGGAGAACCATAGCCACCTACACCTGGACAGGTGGAAAGGGGCGGGGTCCATCTAGATGTGTGCTTCTGGGAAAGTTGGTGACTTATAAAGTGACCATGTGAAGATGGTAAAAGGAATCTTGGTACAAATTGACGGTTTTGATGTGAAGAAGGTTTTCACTGACAGTCTATGGTCTGGGTATATGATGTTGGTCTTACAGTCCTACAGTATGATTCTGACAAACTCTGTATTCCAAAAAATGCAATATTGTAGATGGTACTACCTTTGAAACAGTTCTGATTGTTGCATTTAAAAACGATAACTTCGATCCCAAATTTATGAATTCTTGAAGATTGGACCGGGGATCACTGATTGATAGAAAAATCAGGCTGCTACAGTACCATCCAAAAACTGCTTAAGTCTTGCCTATATTTAATTGGAAGAGGTCTGCTCGTCGCTTCGCTCCTCTGTCTTACTCAAAGGGTCACGCAATTTATAATTTAAAGGAGGGGAGATCAAAAATTTCATTTTTTCTCAAAAGATGTAACTCTGAAGTATAAATATAGTAATGTACTCAAAAACCTGAGAAAAACACTTCCCCGACGAAAAAATGCTCTTTTTTGTCACCCTAATTTCTTCACCCGCTTGCTGCTGCGGCGTCGCTTCATAATGTGCAACAACGCGATGGTCACCTCTTACACGCGTAGTGTAGTGGGTACGCTCAGCTTAGTTCTGCAGTAAGTCAGAGGTTCAATCCCTGCTGGTGTTTTTACATTTTTCTTCGCTTGTTTCTTTCGGATTGAACTTTTTGAACTTGGAATTTCTGATGGGCAACCAGCGTGCCGCCGAGGCCTAGCTCCGAGATATCAAAATCAGTTAAAAATGAAAAAGATGTTTTATTATGTTAACGAATAAATATAATTTATTTAAAAAAAACAACAATTAATTTTAAATTATGAAAAATTATGAAAAAAAAAACTACAATTAATTTTTCGAAAGAGCCCTAACAATTGAAAAAATCACAAAATTAAAACCATTCTCGTGCAGGGTTGGTCGTCGGAAGGCGAAGGAAGTAGTAGAAATGGAGACGACTCTGAAAATCCCACTCATAAAACATTTTTTTCCCAGATTAATAACGAGAAGAAATGAGATAAATAGGAACAGTGAAGAAACGGTTATCGGAGAGAAAATAGTTTTTTCACATGTCTATAGAAAACACCGGGCACTGGCAAAATAATCGGTTGCTTGAACTTTAAATTTACATTAAAAAATTCTATTTTATTTGGGTTTTAAAATAAATAAGAAAAAAAAGCTTTTTTCATGTTTAAAATCATTAAAAATTGAAAAAAGAAAATCGGGAAATAAAAAATTAAAATGTTTGCGCGTGGGATTGCGTGCTTCAGGTGCGAACACCGCGACGGCAAAATACACGTTCCCTGAAATTTTCCCCGAAATTTTTGCTGTCTGGCCCCCTTTAAAGGAGGGTAGACATCAAAAATTTCAAAATTTTCATTTTTACTGAAAAGATATAACTCTGAAGTATAAATATAGCTATGTACTTAAAAACCTGAAAAAAACACTTCAAGGACGGAAAAATGCTCTTTTTTGTCACCCTAATTTCTTCACCCGCTTGCTGCTGCGGCGTCGCTTCATAATGTGAAAAACGCGATGGTCGCCTCTTACACGCGTAGTCTAGTGGGTACGCTCTAGGCTAGTATTCAGGAGGTCAGAGGTTCAATCCCTGCTGGTGTTTTTACTTTTTTCTTCCCTTGTTTCCTTCGGATTGAACTTTTTGAACTCGGAATTTCTGAAGGGCTACCAGCGTGCCGCCGAGGCCTCGCTCCGAGGTACCAAAATCAGTTGAAAATGAAGAAACGTGTTTTATTATGTTAACAAATAAATTATGAAAAAAACACAATTAATTTTTAGAAAGAGGCATAACAATTGAAAAAAAACCACATAATTAAAACAATCCTCGTGCAGGGCTGGTCGTCGGAAGGTGAAGGAAGCAGTAAAAATGGAGACGTCTCTGAAAACTCTAGTCATAAAACAGTTTTTATTCCTAGAGTAATAACGAGAAGTAATGAGATAAATAGGAACAGTGAAGAAACGGTTATCGAAGAGAAAATAGTTTTTTTTCGCACGCCTATAAAAAACACCGGCCGCGACGGCAAAATACACATTCCCCGAAATTTTCCCCGAAATTTTTGCTGTCTGTCCTCCTTTAAACGATTCCATGACGTTATCATCAAATTGTCTGCGTCGGAGATAACAAAAAAAACCGGATCATTTCGACCAGAGAATATAATATTTTTTGAACTCACAACATTGGCATTGGTATTCTCAAAACTGAAAATCTTCTAAAATCCGTTAAAAACCATTCAAGTCGAATCATTCAAAAGAACTCAGGACCCGGGCTCCAGGACCCAGGCTCCAGAACCCGGGCTCCAGAACCCGGGCACCAGGAGATGAGCTCCAGCACCCTGGCTCCAGCACCCTGGCTCCAGCACCCTGGCTCCAGCACTCTGGCTCCAGCACCCGGGCTCCGGAACCCGAGCTCTAGGACCCGGGCTCCAGAAACTGCGCTCCGGGATACGGGCTCCTGGACCCGAGCACCAGGACCCGTTCTCCAGCCCTCGGATCTCTCCTCCTTCTCTGGAGCATCGAGAAGGCGAGAACTGATTCTTGCCTCCACTTTTCTCTTCCTTTATAGTGCCCATCCTGGGGTCAATGGGCCATCAGAAGGTTGTGGGTTTTTCACGTCGCTTTTTTGGTGGATTTGAATTTTTTGGAAAAAAAATTTTTGCAATTTTTTCTTTCATAATCAAATAAATATTTTCGTCACGCTTAAAAAATAATTGAGTTTTCACTTTTTGAAATCTTTGAAAATTCGTTGAGAAAGATGTTACCTTTGAGCCTAATTATCTCGTTTCCTGTTGAAGATATTGAAAAAATTTCCACTAATTATTGTTTCTGATATCAAAACAAACATTTTTGCAGTTCAAAGTTTTTCGATATCGTTTACGAGCCTCGCTAAAAATGATGATAAATAAAGTGATACAGTACTGGACCAAAAATATTTCATGGTATATGAAAATTTAGAAGTTGGAAATGAAAAATGTTGTATGCAAGATAAACAAACTTATTTTTTACTTATTAGGATTTATTGAACTTTTGAGTTGTTACATTTTGAATACCGGTACAATTGAAGGGAGCTTAAAACATATAAAATATAAATAGAAAACCAATTTAAACTACAAAAATATTAGATGGCTCAACGGTGTATCTCGGTGATCCGATGGAGATTCCGGAATCCAATGAACTGTCTGTCTTCTTGATTTCCAGAGAATCGCAGCTGATGGTCCGATTGGTCTTTGGTTTGGTGAGGAAATAAGCGATTGGGAATCCAGAGAGCAAGATGATCATGACGATGGCGAAGATGAGGATCAGAAGATTTTCGGTGGAAATCGTCTCTTCAGTATTGATTGGAAATGGGATTAGAGTGGTTGAAGTCGTCGTGGTGGTTGTGGAGTCTTGGACACGTTGATTTTGAACATCCTTGATGGACCGGAGGCATTTGGAACCAGTGAACCCTTTGTCACACTTGAAGCTAGCTTCCACAAAGATAGCGACATCATTGAAAGTGAGGACTTCGCGTTGGGTTCCCTTCTTCAAGTAGTACACTTTCTTAGTAGAATCGGGACCAATTGAAAGTGCGATCTCGATGGTGTCATGTTGAAGAAGTGGATGGTAGATGATAGTTCTTTCTTCTCCAGCGGTAAGCTTGAAGACGTCTGCATTCAGAATGTTGGAGACAATTCGAATGGAACAATCAGTGGAAGACGTGAGATCAAGTTGAAGATGTCCAGCAGAAGACACTTGGGAGATAAGAATAGAGAATAGGATTACGGTAAAAGAGAGCATTCTGAGCAATGTGAGTGAACAGAAGAACTGGGTGATTCTGAGGGAGATTCAAGTTGCTTATATACTGATCTGAACAGGCCACGCCCACTTGCTCATTATCATCATTTTAAGTAACTATGTCATCATGGAGCAGTGCCCTTGTATTGTGGGGTTGTAATGATGACAATTAGCTCTTATTATGCGAGATTCGCTGAAAAATGATGATAAATGAAATGACCCTGTACAGGACCGAACATGTATCGTTGTAGATGAAAACTTAGGAGTTGCAGGTAAAAATTTCTTTGGATTTTTTCCCTAAAAATAGATAGATCAAACGCTTTCTGCTTCGTGATATTTCTAGTTTGAGCGATTCCATGATGTTATCACCAATTCGTCCCCGTCTGAAGTACAATCATAATTAATAATCAAACAATTACTAAGTTCATCATTCTGCCTCGTTTTTTGCAAAAATTTTCAAAACTAAGATTTAGTTACACAGTTACAATTAGGTTGATAAATGAGAAATTTGACCACCGAATTTCAATATGTTTTTTCTGTACTTTGCTTTCAAAATTGTTTTTGTTTTCTTTCTTAAATATAGTTGTTTTTATCCACGTTTGAGTGATTCTGCCCATTTTCGTCTTCGTTCGACATTTCTGGTCACCTTCGTCGCTTCTTTTCTGTCCAGTTGGATCTCACACGCAACAGAAAACACCATCTTCTGCATTTTGCACTGAAATTCGTATTGGAAAGTTTATTCGCAAACTTAAAAAGGCACACACTGTTAAATCAAACTATAAAAATAGCATATTAATTTTTAAACTTCAGAATTCAGAATTAAGAAACAAAAAACACAGGTAGAGGGGGACTGCCGAAAAACGGGCCGTCTGGCGGGCGCGGACTGCCGAAAAGCGAACAGTCGGCAGTCGAATCGCGCGCCGCCGACGGTCCGTCTGTAACGATTTGCGCCTCTAAGACGGACCGTTTATAATGATAGCGTCTTCTTGACAGTTCATCATTAAACAGGTAATAAACAATAGAAATTCTTTATTAAACTAATAGTTTCTGTGGATTGTGTATTGTTTTTAAAAAGTAACTCCAATTATTTTAAAATTGAATTTTTATAAGTGGAATGAGAGAAAAGACATTAAAAATTACAAGTTCTGAATGAGACAGAACTTCCGATTTTCTTTCTGTGTTTTCGCAAAATTCAAACTTCATAGAAACTCAACTCGGAAAATCAGAAGCTTTTTTTATTTCCTTTCGTTCTCTTTCTCTTCTTCGTTTCTCCCTTTCAACTTTTTTCGTTTTTCGGTATGTACATTTCTCTCATTGAACAGTATTTTTCGCTTATAAGTACGTTCAAAATAAGTAAAATTGATGCGTTCGCAACACTAAAAACTGGCAAGTAAAAAATCTTTAGATTTTTAGGCTCTGCGGCATTTTTAAAGCAGACTTCAAAAGGGCGACGTTTCGCATGTGAAATTTAAAAAACGAGTCAGAAACAGCAAGAACTGATTTCCGTATTAATTTTTGTGCGAACCTTGCAAAGTTGTTACTTTCCAAACATTGCACTTGCAAAAAATGTCGCGGTTCTAAAACGTCGCGGTTCTGAAACGTCGCTGTTCTAAAATGTCGCCGTTCCAAAATTTCGCGGTTTTGAAACGTCGCGGTTCTAAAACGTCGCGGTTCTAAATCGTTGCGGTTCTCCGATTACAAATTTTGAAAAAAAAACAGAAAATTTTTCTCAAAGTTTTCGGTAAATGTACCGGTAAAATACCGGTGAAGTTACCGGCAAATTTACCAAAACCGTATCGGTAAAACACTAGCTAATCGGTAGCACACACTGCTTCTGAATAATTAAAATCACAAGTTACAATATGAAAATCAGGAATTTCAACACCAGTGGTTTATTCGAACTTTTCCTGTGCATTTTCAAACCAAGATTCAATGATTCTAGAAGGTTCCATTGTTTTTTTTCCAAAAAAAAATTAAAAATAGCGAGTTCTCAATATATTACACATTTCCTTCATTGAATTTGAATATGTATTACTAGCAACTGTAGCAAAAAACTTGAGTGATAGGAAGACTGAAATGATAACAATCATTGAATCACCCTAATCAATATCATTCTTACGTTCCAAATGCAAGTTTCCATTTTTTATCGGGGTCGCACCTGAGAGGCATAATCACATTGCAACCATTAGGAGCTCCAAACAATAATCCTGGCTGCAATATTCAATTGTCTATTCTATGGTCAAACTGATCCGGTTTTTATCTCAGACGGGGACAAATTTATGATAACAACATAGTATCGCCCAAACAAGAAATATCACGAAGCAGAAAGTTTTTGATCAATGTATTCTTATTTATTCTGATAGTTTCTAAAACAGTATGACGGATAGTAAGATAAGCACAAAAAAGTCTTTATCGGTATTTTTTTTCAACGTGAAAAAAACCAAAATCCTTTTCAACGTAAAAAAACCAATTTTCAACGTAAAAAAACCAATTTTCAACGTAAAAAAAACCAAAATCCTAATAACACAGTACTTTAAATTCTGGCACAGAACTGGAATTCTATTATTCCTCGACAATTACTATTTGAATTTTTGAATACATCTAATTTCGACAAATTCGGTTTGAAGCAGTATGTCGGCTGAACCATTGTAAGCCTATTCTTCTTCTAAAACTTTTGACAACCTGGAAGTTTCCAGAAACCTGTCCCGTGAGAAAAAACGTGCGTTTCGAGCTGGTAAATTTCCGGAAGACATCATCACAAAAGACATGATACGTGAGGTGACTTGTACGATTGATTGCGCTCCCGGGACACCAAACTACAAAGAGTTCAAAGTGACCGAAGGGATGTTGTTCACAAAGGTTCCGGATAATTTGACGCCTTCATTGGAATTTTGTGATATGCTTCTGAAGATTAATGGGAAGGCAGTGACGACGAAGAAACAGATGCATGAGGAAATTTACAAATTGGCAAAGTCTAATAAGTCTCATTATGTGGGTTTTTCGTTGAAACTTTGGAAAGAAATTTTTGGGAAAAAATTAGAAAATACGAAAATTCGGAAAACTAATTAATTATGATTTTTCAGCTCGCCTTCACTGTCAAACGAATCATCAGTTGTGAGAGATTGGAGTTAAGTAACACACCATCCAATGCGTCCGTCCGAAAACCAGCATCCAAGGAAAATACAGTAAAACCAAATACTGGTTACAACTACTTCAAAATTGTGCTCATCTATTTTCCGAAGAGCAAATTGGGAATCAATATCAAGTCATACGCGGATTCGGTGATTTAAGAGAAAAAGATTCATATAAAATTCCACAAATCTAAAAATTCCAGGTCTACGTGGCAGCGACTGACAACGCATGGGGTTCCACAACCCGTCGTCTGCTTTTCCCATGTGACACAATTCTGAAAATCGATGAGACTCTAGTTTTCGATTGTCAAACTTGTCAGGCAGCATTGAAAAATGGTTTTGCCAAAAATTGAATTGTAGGATTTGAAATTTCTGGAATTCCAATTTTTTTTTCAATTTCCAGGTCACCTTGTATATTGAACGACCTGTGGGCACAGCTGCAATTCTTTTTTCTCACAGCGTCATTTCATACGAACGAAAATCATTAGATCCATTGATTCCTGGTGATGTTGTACAGAAATTCGCGTAAGACGAATTCTCAATAGAGCGAATTTGCATTTAAAAACTTTTTTCAGCGAACAGCTGGCTTATTACGAGAAGAACGGATTTCAGGATCCGCCTCCAATTTTCAGAGGATACACCAAAGATTATAGTTCATCGGGACGTGTCAAGATGACGAATACTGTGGAAAACAAGAAAATCCGATCTGATGATATCAACCCGGCTATTCTAAAACCAGTGCCACCACAAATGTCTCTAAAGAAATAGGATGAACTTTTTAGCTTAAGATTAGATGAAATAAATATAATTTAATTATAATTCTTTTCTGTTTTCCAGCTTTCAGATTTTGTTTGCAAAATGTTTTTTTTCTGCTAGTTTCAGAATAAAAGTTTTTCGAATAAAATTTTTGATTTATTTGAATTTTGAACAAATGACAAGAAAAAAAAAGAATTTAAAATTATTACAAACAGTCATTAAACCAATTCTGGAAACTCGGAATCATCCAAAAGTGGCGAAGCCTGTAGGACAATGTAGGATACTGTAGAATACTCTGGGATACTGTAGAGTACTCTCGGTTACTGTAGAATACTAGAGAATACTATAGGGTGCTTTCGGATATACTGTAGGACCACAAAAACCCAGTCGATATTATGTTTCTTCCAAACTCTCAATGAAAACCTCCTTCACCTCATCTACCTTGATATGTACCAATGTTCCTTTTACCATCTTCACATGGTCACCTTATAAGTCACAAGGTTTCCCAGAAGATCAGATCCTGATTGACTCCGCCCCTTTCCACCTGCCCAGGTGTAGGTGGATAAGGTCCTCTATTTCCGCATTCCCTTATTCATTCTTACTTTTTTGGTCTCTACTGAATAGTCGGTCTTCATCAGCTAATCTTTTCGATTTTTCCCTTTTTTCACATTCTTCAATTGGTCATTTCTTGCTCTTTTATGTTCCTTAAAAATTGATTTTATTTAGATCTCAACTCTACCATGACTTCTGCAACTGACATCACCATGGATTTAGTTTGGTGCCCAACCAACATGGGAAAACTTATCCGTCGCTGTATTCCGAAAGAGGTGAGTAGAATTTTCAGAAACCAAATTTTTACTTAAATTTGAAACTTTGAACACACAAGAACATTTTTGGTTTTATATTATTTCAAACACCTAAAAAAGAAATTGAATTCATTTTCAGATGATCCCATCGGACTGGTCATGCAGTCAATTGGACGTCTTCTCCAACTTGGATCTTCTCCGGAAAATGGGCAAATCCGAATTAGGAATGTTCCGCTCGAGTCAAGATTTGTTCATGGTCATTGCCAATTTCCTAGGAGTTCCGGGATGCGCCAACATCATGGATTTCGATTTCAATAGATTGAATACAACCATCCCAAGAATGCACACAAGTCTCAAAGGAATCGACTTTGTGTACAAAATCGATGTTTTTGCACTGGCTTCTCTTGTCATCCCCTGCCCTTTCGAAGATTGGCAACAAAGAATGATCCTATCGTCGATTAAAGTATGCCAGAGGAACATGGAATTGAAATGGAAGTGTGAACTCAAATCGCACTGCGAAATGGTCGAGTTACCAAAAGATTGTCTCGAGAATTTTTCCAAAAAGATGTCTGGATTCGGTAATAATTTTGCGACCCTTGCCAAAGTACTACAGGAAACTTACAAACTGTGCCTGGATGCTGAAAATGTTAGAGCTGCTTGGACGGATGTGTTGATAAAGGACAACAATGCAGCTGATGGAGTCTATGAAATCTTCAAAACGTGCACCGAGAAATATCCACTCGCAGAGAACAGAGATGACTACCTTATGATGCTCTCGTGGATCGGAATCGTTTCTAAGGAGTTGGAAGACTTTACGACAAACTCTATCCCATCGATCAGCCACACAAAAGCCACGGTCAGACTGTTTTCCGTTGGCAAGGATAACTTCGTAATGGCCCACGAATTACTTCAATCTCTGAAGAACAAGAATTTCGATGTGTCAGGATTCGAGGAGGAAGTTCTAGGAATGCCAAAGCTGTCGACAATGGAATTCCGGGAAGTCGCAAGAAAAGTGAGCATTCAGGAAATGAAGAATATCGAGGTAAGATTTCAAATTCCATTTTCGAATATTTTGAATTTCTATTTTTTTTTCAGTTCATTCGAATTACTCAACCGGAAACAAAGCTCCAAGCCACTCCAATTCCATCTCCAAATGGTGATTATTGTGTTCGTGCCATCGATGCCTTCCATGAATTATTAAACGATATGATTGTGGCAAAGAAAGTGTTCCAAACTATCGAGAAGGATCAATTCAAGCACGTCGAAACATTTTTCGATTCAGTGAAAGAGTACTTCTGTTCGAACCAAGGAGTCTACTTCATCAGCCTGGAGGACCTTAACCTGATCAAATCAACGTGGGAAGAATGTTATGAAACCAAGTTGAAGAATTCAAAACAAGCAAAAAGTATCAGAAATATCAATGGATGTTCACTGAATGATTTGAAGAAGGAATTGGAGTACCTTAATTTGGAAACTTGCTTCCCGTATATCATGGACATCGCCGGAGGAGTATACTCAAAAAAGAAGAAGACAGACATGCACACTATGATCTTCCAGTGTCAAATGATCGCTCTCAGTGATCCCATTACTTGTATCGTTGATTTCCTGCACAGCCAAAAGGTGTGTACCAAATGGATTCCCAACAGTCCATGCTGTGGATTGAGTGCCGAACTTATGACGATTATCAAGAAAACTTATGCTGAACTTCAAGCTCAGGAAGACGCAAAAGATACAGCCGAAGCAACTGAAGCGGAGAAAAAGAAGGAAGAAGTCGCCATGGAAGTTCCACAGAAAAAGAAGCGTTCAAAGAAAGTCAAGAAAACTAAGGAACCGACACTTCCTGTGCCTACATCCGAACTCACTTCAACTGCATCTGAATCCTCTTCTGATCCAGGGTCCGAAATTCCAGAAGCGAAGGAATCCCAAGCTTGTCCCAAGTGCTCTCGTGCCAGCCATTTCGCTGATTTGGCAAATGAGAAGCTCAGATTGTCTAAAGTCGAATGCAAACATCTGAAGAAGGACTTGGCGAATGCAGAATTGGAAATCGAAATTGTGAAACAGAAAGTGACGGATAAGGATGAGAGAATCAGACTTCTAGAGGAACTTTTGAAATCCAAAGATGACATCATTGAAAGACAAAATATGGATCTTCTTGCAAAACAAGACACAATCCTGAATATGGAGATGGAGATGGAATCCAAAGATAGCATTATTCGAGAGAATTCAACTATCATTAAGGATCTTGAAAAGTCTCTCAAGATGAAGAAAATCAATGAACTGGAGGCACAACAATCATCAGAAGTCAGATTCATGGAACCAACCAGAAGTGACGACAAGACGGAGAAAGTCAGAGATGTGCTCTTTAAACTTCTCGAAATCCAAGGAACTCTTCGAAGCGGGAATCCAATTGAAAAATGCAGAGAACTTGCTCAACGAATCTGTATGAGAGCTCACAACAAGCAAATCGAGGATGCCACAAGAATTGAAGCTATTCGATTTTGCGAGGAGGCTAAAATCTACATACAAGCTGTCAACACCCAGTTGGAGATGATTCGTGGCAGCCGACTAGTCAAACCTGAAGAGATTCCAGAACTTCCAGACTTCCCAGCTCTATCCCAAAGATTCCTGAACGCCTATGAGAACATCTTCCATTCAGAAGCTCCAAAAATCTGTGAATCGCTACTGAAGACTCCAGCAGTGAGACCAGGAGAGCTTGCCGACACCGACTGCTTGATCTGCATTGAGGAAATGGATTCGGAGGAAGGAACCATCAAATGCGAGTTCTGCAAAAGAAGATACCATGTGGAATGTGCCCAGGAATGGTTCAAAACAAAGAGGACGTGTCCTGCATGCAGTTCGCCACTTTTGGATGATTCCGAGTTTCCAGAATTGGTTTAATGACTGTTTGTAAAAATTTTAAATTATTTTTTTTCTTGTCATTTGTTCAAAATTCAAATAAATCAAAAATTTTATTCGAAAAACTTTTATTCTGAAACTTGCAGAAAGAAACATTTTGCAAACAAAATCTGAAAGCTGGAAAACAGAAAAGAATTATAATTAAATTATATTTATTTCATCTAATCTTAAGCTAAAAAGTTCATCCTATTTCTTTGGAGACATTTGTGGTGGCACTGGTTTTAGAATAGCCGGGTTGATATCATCAGAACGGATTTTCTTATTCTCTACAGTATTCGTCACCTTGACCCGCCCCGCTGAACTATAATCTTTGGTGTATCCTCTGAAAATTGGAGGCGGGTCCTGGAAGCCGTTCTTCTCGTAATAAGCCAGTTGTTCACTAAAAAAAAAGCTGTTTATAGCATATTCGCTCTATTGCGAATGTGTTCTACCTGCATTTCTGTACAACATCTTCTGGTATGTAGGGATCTGTTGTCTTCCGATTGAACGATAATACCCCATGAGAGAAGGCAATGGCGCTTGTCCCGATTGGTCGTTCAATATACAAGGTGACCTGGAAATTGAAAAAAAATTGGAATTCCAGAAATTTCAAATCCTACAATTCCATTTTTGGCAAAACCATTTTTCAATGCTGCCTGACAAGTTTGACAATCGAAAACTAGAGTCTCATCGATTTTCAGAATTGTGTCGCATGGGAAAAGCAGACGTCGGGTTGTGGAACCCCATAGATTATCAGTGGTTGCGACGTAGACCTGGAAAATTAGATTTTTAGAATTTAGGACTTGAATTTACACAATCCGCGTATGACTTGATATTGATTCCCAATTTGCTCTTTGGAAAATAGATGAGCACAATTTTGTAGTATGTGTATCCATTGTTGGGTTTTACTGCAGGATCCTTGGAAGCTGGTTTTCGGGCGGACGCATTGGATGGTGTGTTACGTAACTCCACTCTCTCACAACTGATGATTCGTTTGACAGTGAAGGCGAGCTGAAAAACATAAACTCCTATAAATTTTCGATTATTTTTAAACTTTTCATACTTTGCCTAAAATGCAATTTCCATGAAAAACCTACATAATGAGACTTATTAGACTTTGCCAATTTGTAAATTTCCTCATGCATCTGTTTCTTCGTCGTCACTGCCTTCCCATTAATCTTCAGAAGCATATCACAAAATTCCAATGAAGGCTTCAAATTATCCGGAACCTTTGTGAACAACATCCCTTCGGTCACTTTGAACTCTTTGTAGTTTGGTGTCCCGGGAGCGCAATCAATCGTACAAGTCACCTCACGTATCATGTCTTTTGTGATGATGTCTTCCGGAAATTTACCAGCTCGAAACGCGCGCTTCATCTCGCGGGACAGATTTCTGGAATGTTCTGGATTTTTGAGAGTTTCAGAAGAAGAATAGATCCTCACACTGGTTCAGCCGACATGCTACTTCAAATTAGAATTTGTTAAAAGTAGTTTTATCAAAAAATATTAAGTGAGTTATCGAGAAATGGCTGGAAAGTTTTTGAGGCCTCCCTTCAATCAAGGCTCAATTCGTTTTTTTCGCCATGTTGCAACCTGGCAAGCCATTTTTCAGAAATCACGTTGGAAAATCAATATTTGTGTTAATTTCAGTAGTTTTGGGTGTACCCCATGAAACTAGCAACCTACCGTATATCCTCTAATAGAAGCCCACACAAAGCCTCAATTTTGAGCTCGATTATCTGAGTTCCCATAGGAGATATCAAGAATTTGTCAACTAATAAAACATTGATGGTTGAGTGATAAACAATTTATCAGTTTACAGATTTTTGATATGTCTCAAAGGAATCGAGATAACTGAGCTTAAAAGTGGTGGATTGGGTGGCCCATGGGCTTTCTATAGCAATATTTAGAATACAAAACGTTTCATTTTGAGGCTAGTTATATTAGAAAAATGGATATATAATTTTTTAAATCAATGGATTCTGAAGAGCTACTCATGACCTTTCTATAAAAGTTTTCCTAATTCGAAAACTCCCACTTTGAGCCGAGTTATACTATTTTCAGTTTTATGGCCTAGAAATCGGTGACCTAGAAATTGCAATCCTAGGCCACCGCTCCAATCTAATCTCCTGTTGCGGGGACCCTGGGATGTCTACGTCCCTGCGCATTGAGTAATTACGTGTGTACAGGCAGATGGCGTTAGGGCGGTCCGAGATGGTCCGTATTGGTGGTAGCCGAGAGACTGTAGGATAAGGAGATACGCAGGCAACGTGTGCGCGTACAATTGACCTATCGGACGGTCCGTTCGGACCCCACAGTCAGATCTCCCTATTCACCCCATTCATTCTTGTATCCATACCCCCCCCCCCCGATTCTTCTTGTCTTATTGTCCATTACTGTTTCAACAAAACTCAAAAAATGTCCCTAAAACCAATTCAAAAACTTTTTCTCCAATGTCTCGGACCCTCCCGATCCTCGAAAACCGGCGACCTGTCCGACATACCAACCAGAAAAACTGCGGATGAGTTAGAATGGGAACAACGTCAGAAGTTTGTCGTAGAGATTCCGAAAAATGCGTTCCGGTTCTATTTGGAGGTCAAAATGCAGGGACAGAGTCATTTGGTTGAGATGTGGAGCTTTGATAAGGTTTTCGATATCAAGGCGCAGATTATGATTCATCATAAGATTCCATTTGAGTCAATTGTGGTGTTGAAAGGAAGTGAGTTTTTTGATTCTTGATTTTCTGGGTTGTCTCCTATTTCTAAGCAAATTTATAGCATAATTTTGAATAATGATACCGTAGCCAGCAGCTCCAATAGAACGTGATATCTTTTACAGTAATTGAGATAATTAAGCTCAAAAATGAAATAATTTATCAGTTGACAATTTTTCTATACCTCTTACAGAAATTGAAATAATTAAGACCAAAGTGAATAACTATGAATTCTTCAGACACATTCCTCGAAGACGACCAAACTTTGGAGCATTATGGGATTGGTGTCAACGGTACCGTTCAAATTCGCATCCGCCCGGACTTCAGAAAGCGGAAGGCGCGAAATATTATTTATTGTGATTAAAGCCTTCGTTTGAAAGAAGTGGGACACTTGTGACCGAGTAGCTTCTGCTCCCCTCCCCCTCTCCCATTTTAACGGGTTTTCATGAAATTAAAATGCTTTATTTTTTTTTCAAAAAATCCATCAAGCATTAGAAACATTGGAATGAATATTCGCAGAAACATAAGAACTGATTTTCGAAATCCTTCGATTCTTCGTACCCGTACTATCATCAATCGCATGCCCTTTCCTCCTCAATAACGCATTTCGATAGCTAGGAATCAGGTAGATCACAGCTAATGGATCGATAAATGGAAATGCGGCCAGGGCTACGGTAGCCACATTTGTATTCCACCATTCCATATTGATGGAGAATATTGGTGCGTACCAGGAGATTACGGTAGGGAGGAAGCTGGCAACGATTGGGATGCAAGTCTGGAAAGAGGTTGTATTTTGAAAATTAGCGAAGCTATCAAAAAGTTGTTAATGTTGAACTTGAAATTTTGCATAGTTTTGTGATTAGTGATTTTTTGAAGTTTTCAAAACTAAAAGAGATAAAAGCGCTTGAAGTTTAAACCAGCGCTCAAACGCTTCGATGTGAGTCGCCGTATCATGAAAACTATAAGAGATTTCAAAAAAACTGCCAATTACAAAAATGTGTAAAATTTGATTTCACATATTTTTGTAGTTGATCACTTTCTCATAACTTTTATACTTTTCAAGTTACAAAAAGTTTTTTCAAGCGATCCCCCAAAGCGCGACGCCAATTTTGTGACTACACATTTTAAACGGCCTATCTTGATAACCATAAAAGATATCTAAAAATGGTCAATTACAAACATGGGAAAAATTTTATTTCACACATTTTTGCTGTTAATCATTTTTTGATAACTCTTATCACTTTGAAGTTACAAAACGTTTTCTTAATTGACCCCAAAGAGCATGCAGCCAAGTTTCGGTACTGTACTATTTAATCAATTTTGAAAACTTTTAAAAACTTCAAAACACGGGCAACTACAAAAATGTGTAAAGTTCAATTTCACACATTTTTGTAGTTGACAGCTTTTTGCTAACTCTTACAGCCTTCTAGATGCCGTTTCCTCAATTAAACCCCTAAGGCGTGCGGGCAATTTTCAGTACTACACTCTTTGAGCGGCCGTATCTTGAGAACCATGAGAGATATCAAGAAACTTTCAATTGCAAAAATATGTACAATTTTATTTCCCACATTTTTGTAGTTAAGCACTTTTTGATAACTTTTGTCCCTTTCAAGTTACATAGCGTTTTCTCAATTGACCCCCCGAGAGTAAGCTTTTCAGTATTTCTCATAGCCGTTCAGATGAAAACAGTTTGCATAGACACTTCTGTTTTGAAACCAAAAATAGCTTATTAGTCATTAGTTACCTGTATAATTAGCGTCTGAAAAAGTTGTTTTTGTAGACAAATACTGTTTTTGCTGAGCTTATTGGTAGACTGCATGACGGAGATTTTTCGCATTATCTGAAATAAAAACAAAAATATTGTAAGCTGAGCAATGTGTTACCTTAAACCCAAGCACAAAATATACACTCATTGAGTAGAAAGAGGTAATCGTGAGGAGAAAAATCCCAACCCAACTTCGGATTCGAATGTAGTCACTGGCGTCCTGAAATCTTCTAATTTGCGGGATTTCGGAGCATCGTACTAACATAATATAAGGCTGCGAGCATTGGAAGTTTTTTTGAATCTGCGCCAAAGTCCTTGAGAAACTCGTCGGCTAGAATTTCTCGGACCTCTTCATTTCCAGCCAGACATTGTTGGCAGATCTGGAAAATTGTATTACTGTAGTTTTAAGAATTAACCAAAATTCGACCTACCAAGGACCAAGATGCAGCATGAGCCAGAAGAAAAAGAATAGCAATGAGGATACCGATTGGTCGGAAGAAAATGTGCAGCTTTTCGGGGCTAAAATTCGGAAAAATTTCAAAAAATTTTTAATTCGAAAAATTTAAAAAAAAAAACTCACTGAAAAAGGGCCATGTATCGATAGACGAAATGGATTATCAGTAGAGCGTAACTGAGCGAAATGAATCCGCAGCGATTGGACATCACATGCTGTCCGATTTCTGGGTGTTCGAAAAACGGACCCTCGGTGAGAAATACCACAAAGCCGTGCTTGTTTCCTGTGACGCCCTGGAAAAAAAATTCAGAAATTTTGAAAACTGGAAATCAGAGAACGCAGAATCTTCTACAAATTCAAAACTTTAGAAAAAATTCAGAAAGTTCAGAAAATCGCAACATTCTTGAAATTGAGATCAATGTTCAAAATTTCCGGGAATTTGAATTTCAAAACTTCAAAATCTCAGAATCTCAGAATCTCAGAATCAAAAAAGAAAAAAAGTTTAGCAATTTCAGAAAATCTGGAATTCGTGTTCTGAAATTCGAAGAAGTTCCGAAGCTCAGTAAAAAAAATGTTCTGAAAATTCAAAAACTTAAACAATATCGAAAAACCCAAAGATTTCAAAATTTTTAAAAATTCCAAAATCAGGAATTTTCAAGAATTCCTAAAATTTCGAAATCCCTTTTTCATTATTAAAAGTCCCGTTTCAATTTTTCTATTTTTGTGTGAGCTACACGGTTTCAAAAAACTTACAATGGGTGTCAAAATCTCCGAAATCGAGTATAAAACATTGAAAACTGCGAATATTATAAGCAAATACTTGTAATTTCCCATTTGTGATCTAGATTTGGTGAAAACCAAATAGATGAAAATGGGATTTATTACAAAACTGAATAGGCCAAAAATGCGAGGCAAATTTTGATGGTACCAACTGATGTAGATCATTTTTTGGGTGGTTTTGGAATTTGGGGTTTTTCGGAGGTATGGTGATAAGTTGTCACTGAACAATGATATTAGAAAATATGTTTTTATGTGAAAAGATGACGAAAAAGGGGTGGAGCTTCGGCTGGAGTCTACATCATCGCCGTTCTTCTTTTTGTTCCTTATTCATAGGGATTAAGTTAGGTAAGGGATTGCTCAGCATAAGTCATTAATCATTTTAAAGGGACATATGTAAATGTGGACTTTGAGATGATAAGGCGCGAATGTTAAGGGTCATCATTTGAGTTTCGGGATCCGGTTACGTAGTTGGGAACAATTTCTGAATTTTTAGGAGTTCTGAATTTTTGAGATTTCTGAATTTTTGAGATTTCTGAATTTTAAAGATTTCTGAATTTCTGAATTTAAAAGATTTCTGAATTTCCGAATTTTAAAGATTCTGAATTTCAAAGATTTCTGAATTTTTAGGATTTCCGAATTTTTAAGATTTCTGAATTTTTAAGATTTCTGAATTTCTGAATTTCTGAATTTTTAAGATTTCTGAATTTCTGAATTTCTGAATTTCTGAATTTCTGAATTTCTGAATTTCTGAATTTCTGAGTTTCTGAATTTCTGAATTTCTGAATTTCTAAATTTTTGAATTTTTGAATTTTTGAATTTCTGAATTTCTGAATTTCTGAATTTCTGAATTTCTGAATTTCTGAATTTCTGAATTTCTGAATTTTTGAATTTTTGAATTTTTGAATTTCTGAATTTTTGAATTTCTGAATTTCTGAATTTCTGAATTTCTGAATTTCTGAATTTCTGAATTTCTGAATTTCTGAATTTCTGAATTTCTGAATTTCTGAATTTCTGAATTTCTGAATTTCTGAATTTCTGAATTTCTGAATTTCTGAATTTCTGAATTTCTGAATTTCTGAATTTCTGAATTTCTGAATTTCTG